GGCCCAGAACTACATTCCTGGTGGCGTCTGGTGCCAGGACTCAGGGGCTGCCAGAGGTGAGCCCTGCAGGTCAAAGGGCTGTGGGTCCCCCCTGGCCCCAGGAGGGACAGAGGAGCACCAGGTGCCCACACAAGTCCCCAGAGGCAGTGCCTAGCTGTACACCCCAGCTGCAGATGAGGACACAGAGGCCTGGAGACTTGCATGGCCTGCCCCACACCACACAATGAGGACGTGCTGGGAGAGACACAGAGCAGGACTGACCACTCCAGGGGCCACAGGCCCTCTCAGGGAGAGCCTAGCCTGGGTGTGGCTGTTGAGGAGACAGGCAAGGGGGCAGGTGAGTCACTTTCCTCTCCCCATCCCAGTGAATCTCAGTGAGCTGAGGGGTCCAGCGTTCCTCCAAATGACTGTAGAGGGGCCTCACAGAGACAGGGGCCCAGCCCTCCCCTCTGCTGGGGACCCAGCCCAGTGAAGGTCAGAGAGCCCCCAGACTAGAAGGGACTCAGAGGGCGTCCACACCTTCCTGGAGGTCATCTTGCCCAGTCCTCTTTCCCTGCCAGGGGTCCATCAGGCAGGCCTGAGTGCCCTCCACACCCTTGGCGACTGCCCAGTGAAATTTCAGGGAGGTGGCCTCAGTATGAATGAAGGAATGCATGGTAGGAGGTGACAGTGGTGACTCAGGGTGACTCAGCTGGAGCCTGCCAAGGGCCTGCTGAGCAGCTGTCTGCAGCCACAGTGGCCCCCAGCCTGCCCGCCCTGCAACAGGGGCCAGTTTTCCTTTCCCCAGGGCCCACCTTTCCTGCTGGCTTCATGCCCAGACATGCAGAAAATGGTGGGGAAGAGGGTGCATGACAGGTGCCGGGGCTGAGCCTGGGAGTGGAGTGAGGGAGGGCCTGAGAGAAGAAGAGAGAGACAGGGGTGCTGCCCCTCCTCCTAGAAAAACCTGGACACTCCACCCTAGAGGACCGTCTCATCTGGTAAATCCTCATAATCCAGACGGGAAACCAAGGCCAGGAAGGGAGAAGATAGGCCACAGTCAAGGAGCTGATAAGTCTGAACCAAGACAGTGAGGATGCCTCTTGGTCCTGGCCACACCATTGCTCTTCTAGTTGGTGGAGGACACGGGCATCATCCCATATATCCCAAGGCTCCAACCTTGAAGTAGAGCAAGCCCCATCAGGGTCTCTGCTAGAAGAATCTGACATCCCCGGTATGCCTGAGATGACCAGATGCTTATTTCACTTTACAACCCCCTACCCATCTATCTGTGATCTACCTGTCCACGCATTCACCCCCCCATCCACATCCACACATTTATCCATCATTGATCAATCCCTCCTTCCATCTGTTCCTCCGTCATCCACCCTTCCTTCCATCCATCCATCCATCATCCATGCATCCTTCCATCCCTCATCCATGCATCCATCCATCCCTCATCCATGCATCCATCCATCCCTCATCCATCCACCCACTCCTCCACCTTCCCTCAGGCCATCCACACATTCATTTATCCATTTACCCTTCCACAAATCCATCTGGAATTCATATCCTTTGGCTACTGGATCATTCATCCATCAATCCCTTATTCATTAAACAAACCGTAGTAAGCCTTGACAGGATAGCCAGTCCTGTGACTTTCCCCTGACCCCCAGCCTTGCACAGCCTGCTCCCTCCTCTCCAGCCATCAAGCCCTTCTCATCCCAGCAGGCCCCAGTGAGTCAGACATGCATGGTCCATGACTTTAAGGAGCTCATAGTCTTATGGGACAGACAAAATCTGAACCCAGAAAACTCTAAACCAGGCAGAAGTGCCCGTGCCTCCACCCCTCCCTGTCTCCAGGATGGTGGAGTCCTCAGTCCTGCTCCTGCTGCTGCTGATCTTTGCTCCTCACCTGCTGGGGACGGGGAGGACCCAAGCTCCCCATTCTTGCACCAGCTGGCTCAGGGAGAGGGGTGGATGCGGAGGGGAGGAGGCCTGGGGCAGCAGAGAATGAGAAGCGCCTGCCACTCCCTGCCTGGCTCAAGCTGGGCCCCCAGTGCTCCTAGGAGTGTTCTCCGGTGCTTGGCTTCAGGGCCTCGTTAATTCTGAACCTGCCCAGTGCTTTGAGATCCCTGGATAAGAGGGAATTCCAGAGGGGCAGCTCAGCCTCATAAACCCGTAATGAGCTGCGTTCTTCCTGCTGTGCTTTTGTCATTGCGATGACATGGTACAGCTTTAGCATTTCCAAGTGCCTCGCCCCTGTGATGGATTAATCCCCACAGCAGCCATGGCCGGAGGGTCAAGGAGGGCAGTGAGAGGCCACTGGACTGCGACTCGGGTGACTCTGCCAGCACCAACTGCGTGACCTTGGACAGAATTTGCGTCTCAGGCCTCAGTTTCCTCAACTGCAGAAGGAGAGTCAACACCTCCTCGAAGGGACAGCGCGAGGGTGAAATGAGACTCTGGATCGGAGACCCCAGAGCTGTGCCGTGGAGATTGTGCTGAACAGAGCTGTGGTCAATGGGGCGGGGCCAGCCACGCACACAGGCCCGCAGAGGCTCTTCACCGTCCTCAGGAAAAGGTCCAAGCCGCTCAGCCTGGCCAACCTCCTGGCCTGGCCTCTGTCCCAGCTCCACATCACCCAGACCCCCCACACACTCCTCTCCAGCCCACCCCAGGGGCTCTCCTGCATTCAAAACTTGAGCTCTGTGTCCCTCTGCCTGGAGCACCACCCCCCCGCCCGCCTCTCCTCCCAGCCAGCCCCTTCCCCTGGCTGGTATCTCAACCTTCAGGGCTCTGCTCAGATGCCCCCTCTTCCAGGGAGTCTTCTCTGATGCCTAGGTTCGGTGCTCCCCCTCCTCTGCATCTCCTCTGCTAAGGCACATGCACTGGGCACCCTTACCGTCCAGGGCTGCCATTCTGTCTCCACCATCAGACTGGCAGTGTGGGAGGGCGGGGACCACATGGAAATCACTGATGTACCCAGAGGGCCAGTGGGGTCTGGCACTGGGGGCCACAGAAACATCTGATGCGTGGAGAATGAGCGATGCCATGTGACCCGGGCTCCCTGTAGACACCTCGCAGTGACTCGTAGGAGACGCGAGGTTGGGTTTAGGAGTCTGCCCCAACAGGCATCGTTTTCTTCCCTCCTGGTTGGATCCACCCCAGCCTGAGAGGGAGCCACAGTCAGCCGTCAGCCGTCCTCCCTGGGCCTCCCAGTCCTGTGCTGAAACAAGGATGGGTCAATGGGGCCAGGGGGAGCACCAAGGCACATGCCCAGCCCTCAGCTCCTGCTGAGTCCTGGGTTTGAGGCCGTGCTCCAGGCCCTTGGGGTGAGCCAGGAAGCACCGTGGGGGACAGAAGCGCAGAGGCAGGAGGAGGAGGTCCTGACAGAGGCCCTGGGGTGGACAAACTCAAGGCTCTGAGACCCCAGGAGCCCCCTCACTGGCCCCCGCAAACTTGCAAACACCCTGTGACCTGGCTGTGGGGCTGGGGCCGTGCAGCCCAGGCAGGACACAGGAAGCAGGCGGGTCGTGTTTTTGTGAATGAAACTGCAGCCCGGCTTCCTCCGGGTCTCCACGCCCTACCCTGCCAGTGGCCGCGCTTGACCACTCCGTAACCTCAGGCGAAGCGCTGGCAGGAAGGGGGAACTTCAAAACGAAAGTGTGAGTCAGACGGGAGAAGGAAACCGGGAGAGAAATTCTTGTTTCATGGAGGCCTCGCATGAGAGCTGCAGCCTGATCCCCAGCAGTCCCGGCCCCAGGGATGCCCACTTGCAGCCTTGGCCCCCTCCAGTGCCATCTGGATGGGGTGCCTTGTGCCCTGAACAAGGCAGGCAGGGCCCAGCCTTCAAGGAGCCGACAGTCCGCACCGGCGGCTGTTAACAGGGCAGCAGGTGACTTGCTGCCAGGCTGGGGCCACCATCCTGGGGGAGCTCGGCATAATCAGTGCAGGACTGTGGGGCTGTGGGAACAGACCAGTGGGACCCACAGATGGCTGGGGAACAGCCAGGCCTCTGCTGAGCTGCCCAGGTCCCCTCAGGTAGGGCCAGAGGGGAGCAACACGGAGCAAGTTGAATAGTTCGTCTGAGGTTGTTACTCGTGCTCCTATGGAGGTAACCAGGCTATGACGGACTGGCAGGGTGTTCCTGGGAGGAGGTGGCGTGCTGCTGGGCTCGGAAGGAGGAGACCGGACCACCACGAAGAGTGGAGTCACGTGCACGCAGGTGGGAGGGAGGGCGGCCCGGGGAAGCAGCAAACTGCAGAGGTCGCTGTGACAGAAGAACAAGAAATGACGGGGCCAAAGATGAGAATGAGGCGGGGCACATGGGGCGCTGGGGGTGGCTTGCAAAACCCCCACCGGCCTTCTGAGCCCAGAGCTTGGGCAAGGCTTGTGACCAGACAGTAAGGAAGGGCGCTGAACGCCAGGGGTTCCCGCCTTGCGGACAGTCAGCTTTGGGGAAGTTGCAGTCCGTCTCCCTTGGAAGAGCCAGGAAAGCCCCCTTCGTCCTGGGTGTCTGGGGCTGGGGTGTGAGGCAGGGCTGCTCACCCAACCACCTGCCTGGGACCCCCCAAGCTTCCTTTTGACCCCACCTCCCCACCCAGGCAGGTTCTTCCTCTCTCCCTCATTGCTTTGGAACGAATGGACTCTGCTGTCCCTTTAAAGGGACCTGAGTCAGAGAGTTAAGAATGAAACTGACTCATGGTGGAAGGGGTGGTCACCAGCTGGCCAGGCGCCAGGGCTGCGGCGGGAGAGGAAGCCGGGCGACCGCAGCTGCCTGTGTGTGCTCTGCTGCAAAGGGCAGAAACCACAAAACCCCATTTGAAATTCCGCCATGCAGTGCATCTTGTGTAATGAGGTTACCCCTCATAATGGGGGCATTCAGGGCCCATGCGGGCCTGGGGGCTGGGGGCTGGGGGCCTGCCCCACCAGGACCAGCTGATACTGATGTCATCTTCAGTTAGCAGTACCCCCTCCCTTGATTAAGAACTTTAAAAAAAAATGCACCAGGAAACTGCAGAGAGAGCCAGAACGGAAGTCTTGGTTTTATTTATAGTTGATAACTTACATCCGGCCTGCTCCCCGGGAAGCTCAGCAGGGAGGAGAAAGAGCCCAAAGGAGCCAGCAACAAAAATGCCCAAACCCCTGAGCTAATATGGTGACTGAGAGCAAGCCTAAAGCTCCCTTCCGAGCTCCCCAGCAGCCAAAGCAAAGAGAGTACAGTGCCCTGCAGCATGACGTCACGGAAAACCAGGGTCTGTGGATCCTGGGTTCCAACAGGAACCTTAGATTCTGTTTTCTCACTGGAAAATGGGGAGAAAAATATGAATTGGTTGGGAGGGCATGCAGCACACACAGTGTCTGGATGCGCTTCAGAGGCCCCATCAGTCTAGGGTCTACAAGAAGACAGCACAGGGGCCTCCCTCTCCATGCCCGTGAGCAGGCCAGACATCACTCGGACTGCAACATGCTTTCCTGCAGCCAGATTCAGCCTCACAGCCAAACTGCACAAGTTCTCCTGGGGCTGCCACCAATGCCCCATTGTCAGCTGGAGCTGAACTTGCACGTTCTCCGGCCTCTAACCAGTTAAGGAAAGGATCAGAAGGAGCTGGGTCATCATGATCTTCCCAGCACCTGGCAGATGCTCAAGAAAAAATTGTCTAGTTAAGGAAGAAGCAGGGAAGGATGGGAGAGAGGAGAAAAAGAGGAGAGGGTAGGAGAATTGAGAGAGGAAACTTGAAACTTAGGCAAGTGGTTGAGCTTCTCTGGGCCTCAGTTTCCTCATCTGTTAAGTGGGGGGTTTTAGTAGCTACCTAATAGAGTCATTCTGAGGAGTAAATGAGGCTGGGCATATAAACCACATGGCACACAGGACGTCCTCAACAAGTGAGGATGATCATGAGGAAGAGGAGGAGGAGGTGGACAGGGAGAGGGGAAGCTCTTGACACTGGGGGTGGGCATGTGGTGGGCCCCACCTGGCCAGTCCTCCTAAGTCCCATGCCCCACACCCACACCCCCAGGGCCTCAGCAGTCAGCCAGAACCCCGCCACCCCCAGAGGCAGTCCCCAGGTGGAGTAGTTCAGGGTGGGGTGCCAGAGACGGAATTTCGCTCTTGTTATCCAGGCTGGAGTGCAATGGCAAGATCTCGGCTCACCACAACCTCCGCCTCCTGGGTTCAGGCAATTCTCCTGCCTCAGCCTCCTGAGTAGCTGGGATTACAGGCACGCGCCACCATGCCCAGCTCATTTTTTGTGTTTTTAGTAGAGACGGGGTTTCACCATGTTGACCAGGATGGTCTTGATCTCTTGACCTCGTGATCCACCCGCCTCGGCCTCCTAAAGTGCTGGGATTACAGGCATGAGCCACCGCGCCCGGCTGGCATGCTCTTCTTCCTCTTTCAGTCAGGGGAAGCTCCATTCTGCCAGGGTCACACAGAGCGCCCCAGCACCAGCCAGAAGTCCTCCCCCAGGTGAGCGCAGAGCCACACCCATGCATACCCACGTAATTTCTGTGGAAAGCCTATGCCGCCCATGCACCTCCTCAGGGCATGAGATACCGGCCTGCTCAACGCCCACTCAAAAGGCTTCTCCCAGGGGACCACCAACACCTACCACCCTTGCAGATTGAATTCCAGAATTCCTGTGCCCAGTGCCACACAGAGTGCCTGGTGGTGCATCTGTGACCTGCCTGGCCCGGGGCAGGTCTGTGTCTCCTGCCTCCTGGCTGAGCCCCACACCTGTCTGGAGAGGCTTGTCTCCCTTGCTTCTCTCTGGTCATCAGCTTCAGCAGCAAACCACAGAGACACAAATGCTCCTCTCACTGCAACACGCGGGGTCTGGGAGAAACGGAGGAAGCCCAGGATCGGCCAGCTTTGGAGCCCTCCACGAAGCGTCCAGCCTACCAGGTGAAAACGGTGACCAGTTCCTGAATTCAGAGGGGACAGACAACAAACAAGAAAACAGATGAATAAACCAGGCATTGGCAGGTGGCATTCACCCCCCCAAGAGAAGAGGATGCCGGGGTCGAGGAAGTGCCCGCACCTGGTGCAGTGCAGAGCCAGGAAGGACGCACCACGGAGAGATGACACCAGGAGGGAGACGGTCCCAGGCAGAGGGACCAGCGAGTGTGAGACCCAGCGGGGAGAGCTGGGGTGTGGGTGACGCAGACCTTGAGGGCCATGAGCTGAGGGAAGGAGCCAGACGCTGTCCTAAGTCCCAAGGGAAGTCACTGGAGGCGTTAAACGTGGCATGACATGGCTGGATTTAAGGTCTGAGGTGAATTTTCCTGCTCCTGAATGGACTCTGAAGAGAAGGAGGATCCTACCTTCCATAACCCACCAGGGAAAGGCACCAATCTCCTTGACCCAGGGGAGGGCAAGAGGCCCCCGCCCTGTGCCTGGGTCCCCAACGGCCTCCAGGGTCCCTTCACGTCTTCACCTCACAAGCCTGGAACCTGGGAGCAGAGGTACTTGCCCAAATCCATGGGGCAGCCCCAGCCTCCCCATCTCTGGCGCAGTGGGGTGGGCAGCCTTCTCCTCCTGGTTTATGGCCACAGAGGACTCCAGGCACAGTGGTCCTCACCGGATCTAGGGACCATGGGGATGGCTGCCCTCTGTCTGTGACCATGGCTGGGCAGCAGCCAGCTGTGGGCTGTCGTGGGTGGGGCCTGGAGGCCTCTGGCTGTATAGTGTTCTAGCTTTGGCACCACCTTGGGGGCTCCAGGTGGGAGGTGCCCACCAGAGGGGACCTGGGCAGCTCAGCAGAGGCCTGGCCGCTTCCGAGCCATCTGTGGGTCCCACCAGTCTGTTCCCGCAGCTCCATCGGCCTGCACTGGTCATGCCAGCTTTCAAAGGATGATGGCCCCAGCCTCGTAAGGAGTCACCTGCCGCCCTCCTGCCCCTCCAGCTGGTCCCCCACCCAGCAGCCACAGGGCCCTCCTTAAAACCTAAGAAACACCCTGCTTCTTACCTGCTCAGACCCCACCAAGGCCCAGCCACCTCACTCCAGATCAACTCCAGTCTTCACTGAGCCCAAAGGCAGAAGTGCCCAGAAAGCACGCGGGGCTCAGCAGGTGGTAAGGCGCCTGGCCCCGAGTAGCCAGCAGCTGAACGGGCCATCCCTGAAGCCACGCACGCCCCAGCCGCACAGGGTGACCGCCAAGGCTTCCATGACGGCGGTGTGGGTGGGGCTAACATGGCCAGTGAAAGCACTGAGTTCAGTGGGGAGGGCGTCTCCCGCCCTCTGACTGTCCAAGGTGGGGAAAAGTCTGCTTCAGGTGAGGGAGACTCCGGATGCCTGGCTTTGGGTGAGGGAGACCCCCGGACGCCTGGCTTCTGCCCTGGTCTCAGCCTGGGCTCCCCACTCGCTTGGCCTCTCCCAAACATACTTCCCTGCTTTGCAGGGATATGGGTTTGTGGGACAATAACAGGAGAATCAAGGCAAGAATAGCCTTGGTGGGTGGAGCTACCTGGTGGGTGGGACTAACCCATGTGGGTGGAGCTGCTTGTGGGTGGAGCTAGCCCAGGTGGGTGGGGCTGCTTGGGGGTGGGGCTAGCCCAGGTGGGTGGGGCTTTCTTCCCTGCCAACAATTCCTTCTCTCGGTTAAGGCCAAGGCAGAGCCCACACATGGGTGTGCCCAACCTTAAGGCCTGCCCTGGATGACTCAGGCCTCCCCAGCTCACCTGGGTCCTACCTGAGGGGAACCTACACAGCCAACCCCCTCAAGGATCCTGAAGCCACCCAGGGGACCAATGGGGCTAGGGTGCCATTCATTCATTCTTTCATTCAACTATTCATTGATTTACTGCCTTCACCACCCCTTCCTGGGTACTATTAAGAACAGTGGCCCTAGGAATATAGAACCTCCTTAGGGGTCTCCTGCAGTCCAGGCACCCTAAGAACAAGCTATGTAACCCACGTGGCCTCTCTGTGAGGGGTCCCCCTGAGCAGATGAGGAGCTGAGCCACAGAGGCCTCACAGTTAGGCAGCTGGGGGTGGACCCGACAGACTGGAGGGAGATGGGCAGGGGCAAGGGGTTCTGCTGGCCCCAGGCCTGTTGTACAGATCTTGGTTAGCACTAAAAATGGGTACTTGCTGAATTCCTACTCTTCATTGAGCACAGGGAGCTCTCGGCCCTTCCCTCCTCCTCCCTGCACCTTCCCCCAGTTCCACACGGGTGTACTGAAGACTCGCTAAGGGCCAAGCCCGGCACCAGGCGGGGCACACAGCAGGGAACCCAAGGCAGCCCACCCTGCCCAGCTCTCCAGGACACTGTGGTCAATGCTAGCGGGAAGCACAGAGAGGCCAGGGGAAGAAGGGCAGGCAGAAGGAGGGAGCCAGCGGAGGGGAGAGAGGGCCGGCAGCTCGGTGCACCTGGACCCTGGTGGAAGCTGGCTGCGACCAGAGGAGAGCCTGCAGCCCAGAGCTAGCCCCAGACCCACAGGGCCTCGTAGGGCTTCACAGGCCTTGTTGGGGATTTGGACTTTATCCCGAGGGCTGGGGATCCTGCATGTTGCTGAGGCTGGGCTATATTGGTATTTTAGAAGCCTCCCCCAGCTGCAGTGGAGGGGAATTGGAGGGAGTGGGAGAGGAGGTTCCCATGCTCACCCAGGTGGGAGACGGTGGTGGGAGGGACAGTGACCCTGACAGGACTCAGGGATAAATTAAAGGTGAGGACCCAGGAGAGGGGTATCCAGACAGCTCCCAGGAAGATGGTGACACCACTCCGTGAGGTGAGAGCCAGGGTGTCAACTGGTCCCCGCTGAACTGGAGATACCAGTGCCCTGCTGGGACTTCCAGAGCCCCTAGGAAAGCCTCCCCCCACCGAACCACCAGCCCACCAGCGCCACCTACCGGCTGCTCAGAGCAGGCCCCCAGCAACTTGCTGAGGGCAGATCCTGATGTGTCCCCATTTTAGAGATGGGGAAACTGAGGCCAGGAGACAAGATGAAGCCTGTATGAGGTTACGTAGAGGTGGAAGTGGCTTAAGACCTCAGTTCTGCTTGGCAGATCCTCTCCAAAGAGCAGATAGAAGGGGGTGGCATCAGGGGATACCTCACCTCACCTTTGCTGTCAGCATTCCAACAACTCTAGATTCTTTTGGCACCCCTCAGTGTCATTCAGTCTCACCAGAGCCTTGCTCTGATTATCAGAGCTCATCTTTTGGGCTGATATCTGCTGCTGGGACTCCCAACAGCCCACTTGGGTCCTGCTGGGGAGGATTGTAGAAATCTCACTGTCCCAGCTTGATTTTCTCCCTCTGTCTTCGACACTCAGAGTGCCAGCCCACCTTTTAAATAATGATGAGTTGGTGATGGTGATGATGATGGTGATGATAGTGATGATGGTGATAATGATGCTGGTGATGATGATAATGATGGTGATGATGGTAAGGACATGGTGATGATGATAATAGTAATAGTGATGAGAGTGATAATGAGATGATGATGGTGATGATGGTGGTGATGGTGATGGTGATGGTGATGGTGGTGATGACGATGGTGATGCTGGTGGTGGTTATGATGATGGTGGTGATGGTGATTATGGTGATGATAATGGTGGTAATGGTGGTGATGGTGATGATGGTGGTGATGGTAATGGTGACGGTGGTGATGACGATGGTGATGGTGGTGGTGGTTATGATGATGGTGATGGTGATGGTGATGGTGGTGGTGATGATGGTGATGGTGGTGGTGGTTATGATGGTGATGGTTATGATGGTGGTGATGGTGGTGGTGATGATGATGGTGATGGTGATGATGACGGTGGTGATGGTGATGATGGTAGTGATGGTGATGGTAATGGTGATGGTGGTGATGACGATGGTGATGGTGGTGATGGTTATGATGATGGTGATGGTGATGGTGATGGTGGTGGTGATGATGGTGATGGTGGTGGTGGTTATGATGATGGTGGTGATGATGGTGGTGATGGTGGTGGTGATGATGATGGTGATGGTGATGATGATGGTGGTGATGGTGATGATGGTGGTGTGGTGATGGTAATGGTGGCGGTGATGATTGTGGTGATGGTGATTATGGTGATGATAATGGTGGTAATGGTGGTGATGGTGATGATGATGGTGACAGTGATGGTGATGGTGGTGGTGATGATGTTGGTGATGGTGATGATGATGATGTGATGATGATGGTTATATGATTATGATGGTGATGGTGTTGATGATGATGGTGGTGATGGTGATGGTGGTGATGGTGATGATAATGGTGGTGGTGATGGTGATGGTGATTATGATGGTGGTGATGGTGGTGATGATGGTGATGGTGATGATAGTGATGGTGGTGATGGTGATGGTGGTGATGGTGATAGGGATGATGATGGTGGTGGTGATTTGGTGATGGTGATGATAGTGGTGATGGTGGTGGTGATGATTTGGTGATCGTGATGATTATGATGGTGGTGGTGATGATGATGATGGTGATGGTGCTGATGGTGATGGTGGTGGTGATGATTTGGTGATGGTGATGATGATTATGATGGTGATGGTGATGGTGATGGTGATGGTGGTGATGGTGATGATGGTGATAGTGATGGTGGTGATGGTGGTGGTGATGATTTGGTGATGGTGATGATGATTATGATGGTGATGGTGATGGTGATGGTGGTGATGGTGATGGTGATGGTGGTGATGGTGATGATGGTGATAGTGATGGTGGTGATGGTGATGGTGGTGGTGATGATTTGGTGATGGTGATGATAATCCTCATGACAACTTTATGAGCTAGGACCACTGTCATCCCCATTCCACAGAGGAAGAACCTAAGGTGACGAGTGGCTCAGTCACATAACAAGGTGGCAGTAGAACCTAGAGGCACACCCAGGCAGTTGCACCAAGATCTGCTCCTAACATCACCAGACACTGCTTTTGGCTTAGCCTACAGAGCTGTCTTTGTGACCTCTTCTCTGACACCCCTTGTCTGAGACAAAGGGCAGCTCCTCCCACCATCCACACCAGTCTGGCTGCTCTTTCACAGTAAGACACAACGAGGAAGCCAAAGGCTCTAAAGGAAGGGGCACAGGCATACCAGTTTCCCTCAGAGCACTGCCAAGGAGGGACCACGGCTCCACTGGCGTGGGCATAGGAAGCTCCACCTGCCACTGCTCCATGCCCAACCCTGTTGCTCTGAGGGATCAGGCTTGGCCCTGACCCTTTCCCCTGTGAGCAACTGGCCAGCAGCCAGCCCAGGTTGCAGTCACCAGCATGTTGGCACTGGTCAACACATGGCATGTCTTCTGTCCAGCACTCAGGGCCTCTGTCAGCACATGGCATGTCTCCTGTCCAGCACCAGGGCCTCGCTGGCCACAGTTGGATTCTTAGAGATGCTGATGTGGACTCAGAATGTGTTTGAGCCTAAAAGCATGCTTTCCATTGGTCCCACCCTGCTTCAAACAAAACAGAAGTCTGGGTTGTTCTAAAGAAGCACGCACGACAACAGCAGCATCTACTGCGCAGGCCCCAGGGGCCGGGCTCTGCCAAAATTTCTACCTGTATGATCCCATTTAACCTTCCGGCTGCCTTGCCAGCGGCCCTCACTCCATTTTACAGATGAGTAAACTGAGGGCTGTAACAGTCAGGCTGTTTCTTCAAGGCCATCAACTGTTGGAGATCAGAGCCAGGATTCTGCACCAAAGCTGTGTGAAGCCAATGACCCT